ACTACATGCTTACATCCTTAATTGCAATACAACACTCCTCACAGAATTTGCTCACTGTGACAGAGCTGTGAAACCACTAATCCAAAGCACAGAATCCTAACTTTTTCAAAAACTGAAGCTGTTTGAATTATACAAGATTACATTAAAGATGTAATTTTAAAACACACCACTTACAGACTAAGACCTTCTCATTTTGTTTTTGCTCAGCATGAAATTTCTTACCTGGATTAGAACCCCCTGCATTTACAAGGGAAGTGTTTTTATACTGTCAATTATAGAAGTGGTTTAATACTGTGGTTGCACTAACCTACTTTAATATTGTAGCTACAGATGCTAACCAATCATTTATAGTGAAATTTCATTGCCTGTTTTGAGTAATTCTGAAAATTATTGCACTATTCACTATATGCATGTGACCAAATACTATTATATTAATAAGCAATGTACTTTATTTTGATTTACCTTTACAAGGAGTCTGGTGGCACTTTAACAAATGTATTAGGGCATATACTTTTGTGAAAGTATATGACCTTATAAATTTGTTAAAGTGCCACCGCAGTTTTTTGTTTTTGCTGAAACAGAATAATATGGCTACTCTTTGAAATGTGACATTTTACAATATAGTAAGCAATTGCTTTGGCCTATACAAAAAAATCAAATCAAAGAATAAGTCTTTAGTTTATCTCTGAAAGCTCTGTTAAGATTCTGTGTCTGATTTTCAAGGACTTTCTGCCTCAATCAGTATTCCAACTGAGCTGACTGAATGGTCCCTTAGAATACACCAAACTGGATATCCCCCGAGTTAATTATAAAACACCACAGCCTCTTTTAAATATAATATTAAAAATGTAATAAGTGAAAAGAATATTTTCAGGCAGGAGATAATTTGAAACAGCTGCCACAATTAAGTTCAATATGCTTTAGTACCCCACAGATCTTTACTAGTATGTAGTCTAATTTGTATCTGAAAACTGTTGTTTTACAACTGAACAGTTGTATCATGTTTAATAAAATGTCATCATCAGCCAAACGGGATTTGTTTGATAAAGTCTTACCTTTTTTTGCAAGGACTTAAGTCTGTAATTTGGAGCTGTTAAACAGTATCTATCAGGTGGCAGTCTAGGTCCAGAGTATGGCTTTATCAATGGCAATGGGGTCTGATTCTTTTGTCTTGCAATATCAAGCAGAAACTAGAGGAGAAATAATTACGTCAGTACCCATGTTCTTTTGTTATATTAGGATTCCCTGAATAAGCTTTACTTACATCTCTTGGGGGAGGAGAGGTAAATGACTGGTCTGTTCGACACTGAATTGCTAATTTCACATCATCTGCATCAACACTGGATTTCTTAGCATGACTTGAGTAAATTTTTGCATCCTCCAGTATAGTGGTCACATACCCTTTTAAGAACAAAGCAGAGTATCTCCCAGAGAACATATGTAAAAAATAGCAACCTTTTCACAAAAATGCAGTAAAAGTTCATATTCTCTACTTGTATTCTGGAAGCTATAAAAGAAAGTTATTTTCTGATACACATTCCATTAAATAAAAGATTAATTATCTGTCTTGTCAAATCAACAAAACATGTATTAAAGTATGAAAAAAAACTCTAGATACCCATCTATTTTTATTTTCAATACATGTTTTGTTGATTTGACAAGACAGATAATTAAAGTATGAAAAAAAACTCTAAATACCCATCTATTTTTATTTTTAAAACTGCTTATTGAAAAGCAAATAACAATGACTTAGAAAAACATATGCTGTCTTGCATATCACACATACCCGTACAATATCCCTCCCACTGGTACCACAATCCAGGGCATCTCATCAGTAAAACCTACAAATCATACCACATAATGTGGTGGGTTTCTAATATAAATATGGGCAATGGACTTATTTTTACTTTTTTTCTCATGCTAAGATTAGAGCCAAAAAATCCGTAAATGAAACTCTACAGCAATAAAACTCTGTGCCACAAACCCTCTATATGTCCAAGTCTCCCCCTCCTCCCCCCGTGTCATATGGTGGCAAGTTAGGAACACGGAAAATGCCATACTGGATGAGACCAGCAGTTCACATAGTCCGGTGTTTAGTCTACAAGTGTCCAGAACCAGATACTTCACATGATGGTATAAGAACCCAGACATATCTCATCCTGATCTCTGCTAATCAGAAATTGCTTTAAGCCCTGAAATACAAGATTTAGTGTTGTTTCCTATAGTTTTGTTTTAATGCCAACTCTAAATAATCTTTCTATCCCTATAAATATCCAATCACCTCTTCAATCTTGATAAGTTCTTGACCACAGTGATTTCCCTGGCAATTCCACAACTTTACAAGTGGTGTGCAAACGTATTTTCTTTATTTCATTTTGAATGCTGCACTTTAATTTATTCCAACATCCATTTGTTCTCCTGTAAGACAGGCACATGCTCCTGACCTGCATATTCCATATCAGTCACTACTACATCTCAGTAGTGGGCAACCTGCAGTCCGCAGGCCACATGTGGTCCATCAGGGTTCTATGCCTGGCCTGCAAGACATTCTGTTTACTGTTGCCCACATGCAGGATTGCCAGATTCCACTGTTTCCGTCTGTGGAGCTTTTTTTCCTACTGGTATTACTTAAATGGCATGCATGTAAAGTAAGGGATGTGACGTGAAATGCATACTGATTGCACACAGCATTGACTGAGAGACACGTGCGCTGTCTCTGCATCAAATCAAAGTGGTTCAGTGGGCACACCCCACAAACTCTATGCAAGCTAGGGATGAGCACCATCTTCACGGGGCGGGAGGGGGGAGAAGATACAGAAGCACAGCAGGGGATCCAGCAGTTAATACGCTAGTCAGGTAGTCAATGGAATTTCCATCAACTATTCGATTAGTCAATAAGGCAGTTAGCTTCAGAGGGCAAAACGAGTCAGGACTGATCTGCTGGATCCCAGACTGCTGTGGCTCTACTTTTTAAATGTAGTAAGAGCTGCAAGTCCCTGCTCACGCTGGGTTTCCCCACTGTGCCTCTGCCTCCCCTTGTTCCCCCCCCCCCCCCCCCCACTTTCCACACTGTGGAGACTGTGTTGAGGGGAACTGGCTCTTAAGTCAGCTCCCCCAGTACTGGCTCCTGCTTCCTCCCCCTACCTTGCTGCAGCAAGGGAGGGGAGAAATGTGAGTAGTTGACTATTCAAATACTCTTTTACATCCATAGTGTAAACTGTTAACCAGTTCAGCTATAGGTTTAACCAGTCAACAGCCCATGGTGTGGTGAGTCCAGATGGCCTGGAGCAACCCCCATCCCATAGCATGCCCTGGGTGGAAGACTGCTCCAGCCCAGCTGGGCTTGAGTGCCCTCCCCATGGCATGGCAGGCCTGGCTGGGAAGGACCCACCGCACCATGCTGTGTGTGGGGGGGGGGAGGCTGCTCCAGCTGGTGAAGCACCAGTTACGGGTAAAGTAGTGCTTCCCCCTTAGCCAGTTAACCCTTTACATCACCAAGCTGCCCCCGCCCATCACAGTGGCTCTTATCAGTCCCATTTCCCCAGGTCTTTGATCGTCCTCGCAGACTTTCTCCTTGTCTGCAGGGGGGGGCCAGTAGCGCGCAGGGCGGCCCGGGTGCAGCAGCCCAGCGTTTCCTGTAATTAGCATGTTGCCAACTTACTGTACGTGAACTCCAACATCTGATTGATCACGCGGGGCTCGTACTCCGTGATGCCCATGTCCTTCAGGATCTGCGCCATCACCTGCGCTCGGCGAGACACACAGGGTGAGTCCCTCGCACCGCCCT